GGGTTATCGCCGTTTTCATCCATTGCTAATGTCAATCTTGCTTCACTTCATCAGGACCTGCAAATCTTCTGGTATCTTTGAAAACATTTGCTTTTTATTAAAACGTATCGACATTAGGACTTGTGTGACTTTACCAGAAATCTTTATTCGATTGTTGGTTCGAATAAGTTCGTCGTCCTTATACCAGAGTACACGTGGGATCGGATAACCATCGACATTGCAAGCGATGCTTATGTCACTGCCTTCAGGGAATTGTGATTGTCCTGCCGACACATTGACTTTGACCGGCACTGTGTGATTGAGAAATAAGATTTATTAATATTCTCAAAGCGGTAAAAACTTTATTAAAAATAAATATTAAAAAATTATATTCTCTTAATATAAAAGAGAATATATAAAGCCTTCCTCTCTCTCTTTGGGAATACACTTACATCGATCGTTTTCATTTCCTTGTAATGATAGAGAGATACATTGTTAATCATATTAAATTCTTAGAATACACGTGAAATAGCCAATAAGCAAGAGTTGTCTTAATGCAGCTTCAGCCTTATAATACAATGCGATGTAAATTTTCATATTACAAGTAGGCATGCAGGAAAAAGAAATTAATCAAGACAAATTCAATTACATATCATTATTGTGAACACTAGCGCGCAGTAGGACATTTTGGAGAAATTTTATTTGAAAGATACAATGAAAAATAAGTCTTTCATCCATGCACGTGAAAACTTTACGGGAAATCTAAAGCGACAAATTAATTTAATCACAATCGTTGGTGTAATGTAGCTGGACGCTGATAAGTATCAGCCATCACTTAGCCTCACCTTTAAACTTGGCGCTACTGGGCTCAGTGGTAGTGATTTCAAGAGGAACAACACGAGGGATGTAAGGTGGTTTCGAGGAATAGACGGGAGCGTAAGTTTGATGTTCTGGAGACTGCGTTCTGGTAGGCCTGTAAGGATATTGTGGTTTTTCGGTAGTGGGTCTCTTCGGTGGTTGGACAAGATACTTGGTGTATTCTTCGTGTTCAGATTTAACATTGTAGACAGGTCCGACTGCTTGCAAGGTTGTCGACCAAGAGGCCGGTGTACCGATGCCATTAAATGCCTGGCAAGTGTAAATGCCGAGGCTGGTTAGAGTTACCGAGCGTATTAAGAGAGTATAATCGGTATCTTGCTCGTAATTGTCCGAAAATAGAGGTAACATTTGGTCGCCACGCCACCAAGTGACAAGTGGCCTCGGCCATCCCATGGCATAACAATGCAGAGTTATCGGCGAGTTCATCGTCACCGTTATACGAGTATCGGGCTCTCCGATGATAGCGACGGGAAGTTCATTTGGTTCTAAAGAATGCAAGAAAAGAGGCATGCACAATGCTTAGAAATGTTAATGCACCATCACCACAAAAATCACAAATTAATTGATATCCAATTTATAACTAGTACATGTGACATTATTAAATTCATTTCATTTCATGCCAGCCCAAATGCATTTCTCTAAAACGTAAATCCACAATCGATATCTTAGTAAACGTATTTGATATTAGTATTAAATGAAAATAGAAACATTTATGTTATTCTAATATTCAAATGCATTTCATAAGACATTTATAACAAAAGTAGTGCCAAAATGCCATGGTTGATCAATGATATTCTACGAAAGTTAATATTGAGCAAAATTCACTTTTTGTGAAATAAATGGATTTTCTATGTACCTGTGATGTCTAATTGATACTCCGCCCTTACCGGTGGCCCTAAACCATTATCAGCGGTACATACATAAGTACCTCTATCGTAAGTATATAAATTAATGATCTGAAGAGATCCATCGAGTAGTATACGCCGTCTTTTCTCTGAAGGCCCAATCTAAAATCGATATTCACAAAATATTTTTAAATTCTTCAGAAGATTATGAGAAATAGTTGTTCAATTATAATTATGTATTTGTCATATTTTTCTCAAATATAAACTATTTGTTTCGAAATACACAGTAACATAATTTACCAATGTAGTATCTTTTCTCCATGTGATGATTGGCCTGGGAGTTCCTAGTGCGACACATTTCAATGTAACATAGCCACCTTCTTGCGCGCTGATATGAGGTTCTTCGGGTTGTTGAATCATTGCAGGTTCACCACCATATTGTGGCGGGATAACGGTAGACCGTGATGTTGTCGTCGAAACTTCTTCTGGTGCAGGTTCCAGACAGGATGTGCCGCAACCACTATTACAGCATTTCCATTCTCCAGGACAGTCTGCATCCGTGACACATTCTTGTTCACATCGTGTACTGTTGGATACTTTTGGGCAACGACCGGGTTTAACGACTGCAATGTTACACACACATACACACACACATATATATATATATATATACATATATAATATACTTATTTATTTACAGACAAATTCATAGAGAGATGGCTAAGTTTAGCACAAAAGTATATTTTTAAAAGTATACTTCTCTATATAAGAGTGATGATAACAATTTAACTGTTTTTCATTCTCTCTCTCTCTCTCTCTCTCTCTCTCTTTCTAATTTTTAAGAAAGTTAATTATTTAACATGCGCCGCTGTCTACATGTCGCTGATTGCGCAAATTTTTCTTAGACGTATATAAACATTACGATCGTTGCTTGTATATTTATACGATCGCACAAAGAATTATTTAAAAATTAATAAAATAAAAAATGTAGAAATAAGATAAAAATTCTAAGATAAGTTGCTTACTCGATTGACAAACGCCTTTGTATTCCGTGCCATCTTGCGTAGCGACTAGTGTAATGGCGCATCGAGTACTCTCAGGACAGATTTTTGTTCTGCAAGGATCGACACAACGACAGCGTTCGCAATCCTGCGAATCCACGTACTGTTCCTTACCGTATGGACAACGGATAATATTACACTCTTCCTTGGCCTCCGTGCATTGATCTTTCGTATCCTTCGAATCCACATCAATTTCGTTACTCGCTGTAATTATAAGAAAAATTAGTGAAAAATTTTATCTTCTCGAGCTGCGAGCGTAACTTTAATATAAGGGAAGAAATAAAAGCTATTGACACATTTGCGGCATAGAAATACGATTAGCATTCAGTGAAGGAGAGAAATATAAGCGGTGAAATATACTTTAAATTTTCGTTTAAAAACTTAAAAAAACTTTCTGTATATTTTCAATTTTATGTCGATTTGCGTTGAATATCATCAGATACGTAAAAATTAAAGCTATTATGTTTTATTTGCGATTGTATTTTGAAGAAGAAAAACTTTATACATATATAATTTTATCTCATCCACGGTCTGATTGTAAATTTAATTACAATGAAAAAATTTTTAAATATCTAAATTTTTAAATATATTTTAAATGATACAAATACGTTTTTAATTGTATGTTAATGAAAGGATTGAGAAATAGAGAAAACAAAATATTGCGTAAATAAAATTGTCGTAAAAGCAAGAAAAGTCTTTAAACATATAGAAATACATAAGGAAATGGAAATCGTATATAAACATGTATAATACAATACATTTATAAAAAGCAATTGCTGTACACTGTAGCATAGCTGAGTGGCAATATCTGCAATAATAAAAAGAGAGTAATAAACTCATTAACGATCTTTTATCCTAAACTTACTCCTAAGGCAAGTGTTAATGCAAGATTCAAAAGTCTTGAATCTGTTGCGATTGCCACCACATCCGGTATAAATAAACGCCCGGCACGTTTGATGTTCCTCGTCGAAATAGAATCGTTTTGTAGCACCGGACGTACAAGATCCACTATCAACTGGTTCTTTACAGATTGCTGTATCATTATTATAAACACCGTTATACAATCTATCTATTTTAAAATAGTATAAAAATTCTACAAAAATATGATTTCGAAAGTTAACAGCTTGAAAGTATTGTTTGGGAGGAAACGAATAAAGAGATAATGATAAAAATATACGCACATAAATTTAAAGCGCTGGTGTCATTTCCGGGAGGTACAGGTTCTTCATGATGTATGCAAATAGACTCGCATTCAGAAATTGTACTGAATCTGTTAGCGTTGCCATCGCATCCACCGTAAATGAATTCACGGCAAGCACGTAAACCTGGTTCATAATAATATTTGCGGAAAGTACCTCTGCATGGGCCGGAGTCCACAGCGAGATTACACATATCTGAAAAGAGAACATTAGTCTAATAAATCTCATTTTAATTATATTAAATAATCTTTTTAAAGAAATTTAATGAAAAGTATAATAAAAAGGTTGAAAAAAAGTAGAGACAATTTCTAATAGTTTTAAATTTTAATCTTTAGGATTTTATTTTTCGATTAATGTGATTTAATAGTTTATTTGATGTCTACGTAGATTTTATTATAAAGTGGCAAGAAAACAATGTAAATTATACTAGAGCTCGTTATACATATAACCTTGTCTGTGAAATCTTCCGCAGAGTCGCTCGCATTGTTCTTCGGTTTGAAATCTATTAGCATTTCCACCACATCCGCCATAAATAAACGCCTGACATATCTGATGTTGGGCATCGTAGTAATACGCGGTGATACTGTCACTACAATCGCCAGAATCGACTGGCGCCAAGCAAATCGTACTCTTTGGTTCTCCAGTCGGTGGAGTTATCGTGGCTAGTGTTGGAGTAATCTCCGGTGTAACCGCAGCTGTTTGCCGTCTACATTTTTTCTCGCAAGATTCCCTATCCTGGAAGCGATTTTTGTTTCCTTGACAGCCGCTATACTCGAACTCGTAGCAAGAATCAGTGCGCTTGTCATAGTAGAATTGCTTTACGAAACCGTCACAAGGACCGATCACTTCTGGTAGAGTGCAAGGATCTGAAATTTTTGTAATTTTTTTTTGGATAATTGCACTACTTTCTGAGTTTTTTGTAGTATGTAAATCAAATCAAAGTATTAAATAATTTTTTTTCTGTAATTAAATAATTTCATTTTACATGCTCCATTACACGTTTCAATAATTTTTTTATAATAAGTATAATTTTTAGAACTTTTATTCTTTCATGTACCTATACATTCTTTTATTTTACAGTTTTTTATGTTTTTATATACAGCTTATTTACCTTGAACTTCTCCGCAGCGATATTCGCACTCTTCGCGAGTATTGAAATTATTGCCGTTACTCTGACAGCCGCCGTATCGGAATTGTTTGCAAACACCATCACGACTATCGTAAAACCATTTTACTTGATTTTCGGAGCAAGGACCATGTTCGTCGAGTAAGAAGCAAAATTCTAAAATATGTGATACCAAATAAATAGTGATGTTGTTACTTTTGAACAATTTTTCAAATTGTTAAAAAATGTTACCTGGCTGGAACTCAACTTGTCCTGGTGGAGATGGAGTGGTGATAACCGCTACACACCTATTGATGCAGTCATGTTCGGTTATAAAATTATTCTCATTCCCGCCGCATCCACCGTAATAGAACTGTCGACAGTGTTGCTCATAGGAATCGTAGTACCATCGTTGAGTGTAGTTATGGCATTCTCCCAGAAGAGCGGGTAGGAGACAGATATCTTGCTCTATATTCAACATGAATTTAAAAATTGTACTACATACTATATATGTTATTGCTTGTTAAAAAGTTTTCTATCTGATAGAGATCGTATAAAGGAAGATTATTAAGAAATTTTATTTTTTTTATTAGTATTTTTAACAATATTATGTGTTAATTAATATAGTAATAACAAATTTTGAAAGTTATGATATAAATTTTTGTATTACAGAATGTGTGAAAAATAGACAAAAAAAGAAAATTGACACAAGTAATTATATTTTATGTTTCTGTATAATTTCTACACATTGAAAAAGTTGCAATGTGTGTTACATGTAATATAATATTACATATCATAAGAGCAACTAAATATAAATTTTTTTCAATTAATTTATAATTAAATTAAATGGAACTTTTTTTTGATTGTGTATACAAGAGTTTGTAGTGTTAATATAATAAAAATGCGGAAAGAATAAGTGCTTTTATAATATTTTAAAATATAATAGCATTTGAAATAGAAAAAAGGGTTGGAGAGAGAGTGCGAGAG